TTTTTTTTTTTTTTTTTTTTTTTTTTTTTTTTTTTGTTTGGGGCGTGCGTATCAGACTCATATGACACGGCCAGTCCCTTCACTGCATAATTTTTTCTTTTTCGGGCGGCGACACATGCAGTGTTCGTTTTTTTGGGGGGGGTCTGATTGGCGGATTGCCGCATATTCACCGTCCGTGTGTCGGAAAAGGGGGTTGCAAATGGAATGGTCCCTCTGCCATTCCGTTCACCCTGTAGCCAACCTGTGCACTGTCGTCGGCGCGTGACGAACATTTGCCACGAACACGATATGACCTCTCCACGCAGGCGGTGGCCAGACGACATCTTTGCGTTCAGACTCCTCGTTGCGCACTGCCTTTGTCGCCGCCATCGCGCAGTCCCGACGTCATCTTCACGTTGGGACTCGTTTTCTAGCACTGTGTGTCTCGCCGCCATCTCTCTCACCAGACGTCATCTTCACGTTGGGACTCCTGTTCTCGCACTTTTCGTCTCGCCGCCATCTTTTTCGCCAGACGTCATCTTCACGTTGGGGCTCCTGTTCGCGCACTGTTCGTCTCGCCGCCATCTATCTCGCCACACGTCATCTTCACGTTGGGGCTCCTGTTCGCGCACTGTTCGTCTCGCCGCCATCTCGCCAGACGTCATCTTCACGTTGGGACTCTTGTTCGCGCACTGTGTGTGTCGCCGCCATCTATCTCGCCAGACGTCATCTCCACATTCGGACTCCTGTTCCCGCACTGTGTGTCTTGCCACCATCGTTCTCGCCAGACGTCATCTTCACGTTGGGACTACTGTTCGCGCACTGTGCATCTCGCCGCCATCATTCTCGACAGACGTCATCTTCACGTTGGGACTCCTGTTCGAGCACTGTGTTTCTCGCCGCCATCTCTCTCGCCAGACGCCGTTTTCGCCAGACGTCGTATTCACGCTTGGACTCCACCTGCGCAGGCTTTCCCTCGCCGCCATCGTTCTCGCCCTTCATTCTTCTCGACCGATCGTCTTTCTCCCCGTTCGGTCGGGCATCGTTGTGGCAACCGTGTGGTTGTCGTCTTTTCGTACTCGCCATCATCGTTGTCTGTCTTCTCTGCGATGACGAATACTCGCAAATCTGGCAAGGGGAAAAGGGAGAGGGACTCCCAGAAAACGGAAGCTGTCGGCGTCGTGAAGCGGGGGAGGCATCAGGCTAAGAAGCTCAAGGCATCAAGCGACGGTGCTCTGGTGATCGGGAGGTCCGCGCGGGAAGAGTGGGTTACCGAGGCCAGCAGCGGACAGGACGACGATTTCGAATCGGAGGCGAACACGTTTTATGGGAGGAAAGGGACCTTGCATGAAGTGTCGAACGCGAGAATGGTGAGCGGAAAGGAAGGCGTCGACGGTGGTAAAGATGGGGGTCACGGGGTTGCGCGAGGCAAGGGTGAGGGGGCCGGCGACGTGGGAGGCGGTGTTGCTGCCAGGGAGGAGCGTGGCCAGCCGACGACGCCTGGCATGCGCAACGCCGTGCCATCGAAGGACGTGCAGGCGGCCTAGGACGTCGGTAAACACCCGCCAATGAGGGCGCCTTCTAACCCAGCGACGCCCACGGCGGGACAGGCGAGAAGGGATGAAGGGGCGGGGGTGAATGCGGCAGTCAAGGGACAGCTTGCGACGCGCATTCCCGCAAAGGAAGCCGCAGCGGTGGGAGCCGTCGTTGGTACATCGACGACAGGCACGGGGGGGGGCGGTGGTGATGGTTGTGATGATGATGATGACGACGATCCCCTGATTAACAGGCAGAGGCGATCCGGAAACATGGCGGCTCTGGAAGCGAAAGCGAAACTGTGGGTGGACGATCTGTGTTTCTGGAACGAGACGGAGGGGCATGGGATGTTCAAGATCATCCAGGAGACGCGCCTGCACCTCATCGCCATCGCGAAGGGTGTGAAACCGTCAGAGATCAGAAAAAGCGTTGTCCTCCCGAACGCCACGATCCCTCAGCAGAAGCTGGAAGACGTGTCGGAGTTGGGGGCCGCGAAGGAGAGGGCTTCGAGGGTGCAGACCATAGCATTGCGCATCATCCATGGGTGGATCTTCAAGTCCCCCAATCGCGCGCGCGGGTACCACTGCTCCTACGGCTATGTGTTGAACCACGTCGCCACAGACCTCGCCCGCGCCATCTGGTTTGAAGAGGACCGGCGGGTATGTGTGAGTCCGGCGGTCGTCCATAACACCTTGGAGCTTCATATGAAGCTCCCCGTCTGGTACGTAGGTGGCGTCATACACGACAGGCACGAGGACGACGAAATAACGTCGTATCAGGAGTCCACAACGCAGCGTCTGGTGGGAGCTTTCACGAATGCTGTTGACACGGGGGAGGGGATATACGACGGGCGGATGTTGTACGAGAGGCTGAGGAACGTGGCAGACTGCATGCGCCTTTTGCTGTTTGCCGCCATGTGGATCATGCGGATGTCGGGAGATAATCTCCGTTCGCATTATGAGGCATCCCATCTCGTAGAGCTCATTGCGAAACCGACGCTCATTGCATCGCTGCATCGCTCATTCGACGCGCGCCGCCATGTTCTGCAGTGTGTCAATGCAGTAACGGAGAAAATGGGGAAGCCCCCTCATGATGTTGGTCGACCCTCTGGTGTACATCCCCGACTGGGTTTCGTGTGGGGTGTTGTTCCACAACGACGCCACCTTGACGTCTCCTGAGCTCGCCAGACGACTAGATTGGTTAGGCACCGGACCTCCGAAGATCGATGATGAAGACGAGGAGAAGGACAAAGGCGGGGAATCGTGACGGCAGGCGCTGTGGACGACGACAGGAGGTGACCGCGCACAGCCACCCGCCGCTGCTGCTGATGACGATGATGATGTCGACGATGATGACGTTGATGATGATGATGATAACGGTGACGATGATGATGTCGGTGACGACAATGATGATGATGAAGACGATGTTCATGATGATGCTGACGATCGTGATGATGACGGTGACGATGATGATGGTGATGATGAAGATGATCATGATGATGAAGATGATCATGATGATGAAGATGATCATGATGATGAAGATGATGATGACGATGTGCAAGATTAAAGATGATGATGATAATGACGATGATGATGACTAAGGTGGTGATGGTGATGACGACGATAGTGGCGACGACGACGATGTCGTCGATGATCGATGTCGTCGATGATGATGGGGACAGGAGTTGGCATGGCGTGTGAATAGCGGTTGCGCGAGTTTCGTAGATTGTCTTCTACTTCCTTTGCGTCGAGTTATTTCTTGTTGTTAAAGCGGTTGCCGAGTACTGGTGAGAGCTCGGTTTCATATAGCTAACAACAAAGCGTAGTTGACATGCACGTCTTTTTATTGAAGGGGCCACTCATCGTCGAGTGTGCGGTGTCATTAACGTCCATCATGTCTATGCGCATCATTGATGCTAATTTGATATCGTGTGCTATGGCGACCATTCGTTTTATATCGCAGACGTGTTTTCTTATGTTTGTTATTTCCGATTGCAAAACTTCCATGTAAAGTTGTGGGTGATAAGGTGAATGATTTTTGCGTGAGAGATTGACGTTTTCACTCAGTGACCTTCTTTGTCGCGCACTCATCGTTCAACCATTCACAACACTTTTACGAAGATGAAGACAAATGATTGGCAACGGAAAATATGCACTCCAACATTTGGACCATGGACATATGTGAACTCAAATGAATGCTATCATCAATGGTTTGCACTCATTCACATCATCACGCACGTAAGTGCGCCCTCATCTCGGCACGAAGGGCACATGAAAAGGAAGAAAATAGTCCACGACAAGCAATAAAACTCGGCGAACAAAAAACAATAATCATCAAACCCTTGTAAACAAATAACAAGTACACTGTGCGCAGTACTGCGCTTCGGAAATCGAGGAAAAGGAACCCGTACGCATGCATGCGTCTGTCGCACACCACAGACCCGAATCCCGCAGCCATGCGGTTCACAGACAACAGTAATCAGCCGCCACCACCATATCTGCCGCCCTATGGCTTGCGCATAAACTGCGGATAAAGCACTATCAACGCGTCAATGTGAAAGCACGAATCGAAAGAAAACAAAAAGAAAAAATGCTCGTCAACAATCTGAATGTGGAGGACACACTGGAGGGAGAGTACTAGACTACATAGACGTTCTCCCGTCTTCGTCCGACAATGACGACGATGACTTCGATGACATCACACGATCTATTGTCCCCTTCGTCTCTCCACACACTGCTTCCTTTTACTCCACGCCGTCAAACGCCCTTCCACGTACGCAACTTACATCTACTTCCGCTCCGCGCCGCCGACATCTCTCATTGCTGCATCATTCGCTCCGCCAGCGCTTCACGCAACATGGCCGCTTCCCTCATAGAAGTTTCCATGCACAAAGGCCTGGGGGGGCGCTGGATCCCAAGATCCACTCGACGGCGAACTCCGTTGGCGTCCACCTCCCACAGCAAGTTCGCATCGAAAGGGATCCCGGCGTCGATGAGGATGTTGTGCAGGATGCAGATGGCCACGAACTGTTGCGACAAGGTCTAAATGTTTGTCTTGTGCGACCCAAGGAACAACCGCTACATTCCCTTCAGTCTCCCGAAGGCCCTCTCCACCGCCCCCTCGCCGTCTTCTGTTTGTTGTCGAAACGGGCCTCGAACGGAGTCTGCGCCGTGCCGCCATAGGGGACAACCATCCATTCGCTCGGCGGGTAACCATTGTCGGCCAGCAGATAACCATTGGTCTGCACTTGGAATGACAGCAACACAGGAGGCCCTTTGAATAACTCGCCCGCCGCCGCACGCGACCAAAGACTGGACAGATGGATGACCCTGACGTCGTGGCAGCTCCCTGGATAACCCACGAACATATCGAGGACGGGCAAGTCCAAATCCACCACAACTTGAGCGACGACAGAGAATCGTCTCTTGCGGTCGTAGTAGTCTTCTGGAGTCGCGTTCGCCGGCTTGTCGATGTAGATATGGGTGCAATCGATGCACCCATGACAGTTCGGGAAACCCTTGTCCGCAAAAGCACGCAGAACAACCGCCTTCCGCACCCCAGTCGGCCACGCCACCTTCTCCCTGTACACCGAAAGCAGCACAGCTGTGACGTCCCGGATGGCCACCAAACCCGAATCCCTGCCAATTCCAAAGTTGCAGGTGCTGCTCTCGTATGTCTCGCCAAACGCCCATCTGTAAAGCGCGTAGGCGACGATGTGGTCTGGCTGCAAAGGCTCTCTGTAGAACGTCACACGTCGCTCGAGAATCGGCGTCAAGTTCTCAACGATCTCACGGAAGACACGTGGAGACATCCGTAATTTGTCGCGGAAGTAGTCTTCAGTGGCGTCGTCTGCAGGCCGAAGATCCTCCCAGGTCCCCCCAGTCCTTCGTTTCACCCACCACCTCGGGGTCGCCCTCGGCAGTCCCCCACACCCTAGGGCGCAACATACCTCAAAGACGGCATCACAGATGGCGACGCTATCCAACCCTTCACACGTCGGCGGCTGCATCGCCTTCCTTCTTCGAGCACATAGTCGTGCCCACCGTCGTTCGCCTTCGACCTCCGTCTCGCAATGCATGATGACGGCGGCGACGACGGACGTCACTACAGCCCTCTCCAAAACGGACAACCATGGCCCGCCCTCATTAGCGGCTGACAACCTTAGCCCGCCCTCATCCCCGCCACCGACCGAAAGCATATCGACCACGAAAGACATCGCACTCACCCACGCCGCCAGAAGTCGCCCAAACGACCACACAAGGCCGCCACCAATGGACACTGGCTATGAAGAAGTTCGCGGAGATGGCGTTCGGGGTAGAATGCACGAAAGCGAACACGCAAGATGACGGTGGCGCTCACTGCTGTTGTCGTAGCCAGGGTGCGTCACGTCTTCTAATACGTGGCGACGTCTGTGTTGACGCCCAAACGACCATTGGCCGTTTTCGCATGACGCCCACTGCAACACCCCTGTGCTTCCCCGATGGGGCCGTCACACGCACGCATCTCCCCGCCCCGCCGCACCGAACGCCACGCTTGGCCGATTCAAATTTCGAATTTTGAAATCACACGCGCGCGCGCACAATTTTCCTTTTCCCGCGGCGGCGGCAGGCCCTTTTCAAATTCGCCGGCCATACGCGGTGGACCAAGTCCAACCAGACGGACACCACACGAAGGACCACCTCCCAAACACTCGTCCCGCAGCCGCGTATAACATTATAGGACTCCCCGCGGCCAGTCCTCGGAGCATCCTCGGGGATCGTCCCAAGGGACGAGTGGAACTAATGCGGGAAAATCCTCGGGCTGCCTCGAGGAATTCCCCTCGGAGCTCGATGACGCCCCGAGGAGTGTCTAACGAGCCCCTAAAACATACCTTCAAACTCAAAATTGAATATTATGGAAGGGAGGTGGAGAGAGAGAGAGAGAGAGAGAGAGAGAGAGAGAGAGAGAGAGAGAGAGAGAGAGAGAGAGAG